AATGTATATCTGCAATGTACCACAAAAAAGTGTCAAGGCATGGATGAACAAAAGCATTAAGATGTGCATGTTCTATTGTGGTAATATTTAAAAGTGGGTTTTGATCTTCAAGCGAAAATGCCTTAATACTATACAAAAGAAAAGAAATATTTAGAACAGAATCTGAAAAAATAAATCAATATGATAATGCCTACTTACAATTGTGGCAATGTACGACGTAAAACTCGAACTACCGCACTCATTATAAAATCATCCTTTTCGGGTGCTCTTAAATCATCAATTTGATAATTCCACTCCTTGGCTGTTAGATTTTGTGAAAAAAATTTAACAAGAAATTCATGAACATTTACGGGAACCAATGATTCGGTTATGCTATCCATCTCCATTAGATATGATCTTGCTAACGTTTTTGGAAGTTTTTTGAAAAAGGATGAATTTAATCGAAGGTCAATTAGATCGCCATCAGAATCTTGTTCTTTATAAGTCAACAAAATTTCTTTTGTTGCATCCGAGTAATCAATAGTGATTCCTAATATATCTTTTATCTGAGAAATAAAAAAACCAACAGTGTTAGAGATCCGTTAACTAAAATGTATTATTAAATAATTACTTACCACATCGTCTCGAACAGGTTCTTTCTCACTATTCTCTTTTGAAAGATCTTCAAAAGAATCGATGTCCAATCCCTTTTCACTTGTTTCCTCTTCATTTTCTTGAAGTGAACTTTCATCCCCGTCGGTTGATTCTTGTTCAAAAAATTCCTGATAATCCGGTATATTTCTTCCGCTTCTTGTTCGCTGTTGTTTTATCGTGTCCTGATTTTCCTAAAAACATTGAAATACAAGATGATTGGTTTTTCTGATTTTCAATTTCATATAAAAAAATGCGCATCTGTACCTCCTCTCAATCTGCTTGCTTTCTTTTCATTGATGATACACAACTCGTGGTTTTATCATTGATAGTCCCAATATTTCCGGAGAATGTCGAATTTTGAATATTAACTGAAGGACCAGAACATATTTCACGTGTTCCTTGTCCATTCTTCCAATCCGCAGCACGTTTGCGGTCAATTCGATTACCCTTACATAGAAGTAATAAGAAATTAGCAATATGTAATTCTCCAATTTACTATCCAATTTTCCATCCCACCAGATCGGCAAGCAGCCTTTAAACATCAGAAGACCGAGCAGGTCATCTGTGCCCTAGTGGGACCAATGTAGAATCGGCAAGCAGCCTTTAAACATCAGACAACCGAGCAGGTCACCTGTGCCTCGACATTGGTTTTGTGGCTCGGCAA